CTTGGATCATCTAGGTATTCAATTATGAAAGAAACCAACATGAATTTGAACCTTAACATTTAGACAACTAGTTACATTTCAAATTAGGACATTCTCGCSACAATCACCTATTGTACAGATAGCATTTAACCAAATAACCATTTAGTGCAAATTTAAAGTATCTACAGTTATTTGTTTTTGAATTATAAGATTAATTTATTATCATTAAATTTTCAAATTTTTTAACTGAGCAGAATTTTTTTTATCTACATTTAAAAAAAAACTAATGCAAATTGAAAGTGTCATATGCGTATAAATAGCTCAACATCAGTCACAATATTTTAAAAATTGTATGGCGTCAATTCCGACGAAAACGGATTTTGAGTAAAAATTCCGGTAATTTGATTTTTGTTTTTCCAGTGCTTTTGAAAACTACTAAAATTTTAAATTTAAACCACTCGAATACACCAACTAGATCCAATTTCCGATCAGATAGATACTAAAATTGAAAAATCTAAAGTTCTATTTTGAATAATTATCGTGTACATAGACGCATTAGACGCTAAAGAAATTAAAACAATAAATAAAATCGCTACGCTCAGAATCTAATAGAAAAATTCGTGAATAATTTTTACCCAGACTCAATTTTCAACGCAATCGATTATATGGTGTGTATTAGATAAAAGTAAAAAACGAATAACCTTTGATACTTAAAATGTTCATAAAGATTGTTGACGCTCTTTGAGCTATTTAAACATTCGAATTGATTTAACCTTATTAAGGTCCTACTATAGGTACAAGATTATTACTTAGGTGCAAATTTAATAAATTTTTTATGGCAACTTAATGTATTTCATGAATTTATTTAATATGGTTATAATTTCAAACTTTGGGGTGGTTTCCGATGAAAAAGTGAATATCCTTAGTGCATTATAGAGGTCAAAAGTAAACATTTTCCAACAGTTTTCAAAAAAATCGAGAAAAACAAAAAAAAAAGTGACAGAAAAACGGGAATTTTTACGCAAAACCAGTTTTCGACCAAATCGATTTTTTTATATGGTGGTAATTCAAAAACTAATCACTGTAAATACTTGAAATTTTCACAAAATGTTTATGTTATCTATATACAGTTTAATTGACTTTTTTTGAGTTATTTACAGACCACTGAAATGTTCGATTTTTATGAGAATTATGTATAAACCACTGAAATATTCGATTTTTTTTTTGAAGTGTCGGTAAAAAAATGTTGGATGACCAAAAAAACTTGAAAATTTAATACAAGGTTCCTTATGAGTTGTTCTTATTGTAGTTAAAAAAAAAATTTTAAATCGTTGGTCACAATGTTTTTTATAAGCGTTTATAGTTCAAATTTTTACAAAATCTGTCGAAAACGCGAAAATTTGCAAGTAATTTTGAAGTTGAAAAATCATAAAATTGTTTGTGTTTATAACTAAAGATTAAAAATACAACACTAAGTTTTCCATAAGTTTTCCTTCAAGTAGCTATAGAGAAAACTCGATGCATCATTATAGGAAAAATTTTAATACAAATCGATAAAAAAATTTTGGCCCAATCAAAATACTTTAAAATTTAATACAAAGTTCCTCATAAGTTATTCTTATAGTGATTAAAAAATTATAAGAATACATAGGCACAATTTTTTTTTATAAGCATTTGAAGTTCAAATATTGACAAAAATTCGTCAAAACCATGAATATTTGCAAATTATTTTGTAGTTCAAAATTCATAAAATTGTTTGTATTTACATATATCTAAGGTTAAAAAATTCAACACTAAGTTTTTAATAAGTTTTGCTTCAAATAGTTATAGAGAAAATTTGAAGCGTTATTATTGGAAAAATGTTATGAGCGTTTGAGTTTTAAATTTTTATGAAATCGCGTAATGATAACGATTTATCCTCAAACCAGGTATATGTATATTATTGTATATCTATGATAATATAAGGTATTATGAATTATGATAACTACATGCAATGTTTTTAGAAAAATTGATTAACCATGTCTTATGCAAAATGCGTCCTAATTGAAAAATAAAATATTTGTTTCAAAATAGAATATATGACAATATTTAAATATAATATATCCTAGACTGACAAATCATCTCCATTCAGAATCGTTTTTCGTATACAATTTATTGTACCTATCATTGCATTCAAATCTAACCTACCCTAGTCAGAGGTCCACCCCACCACCTAATGTACAGCAGAGCGACATCCACTTACCCGCTTTTTTTTTATATTCTATAAATGTAAATAATAATTATGTATTGTATTAATATTTATAAAAATTTTATAAAAAAGGTTAAAATTTTGAATTAATATTTACGTGGGATATTTTTTCATAGAATATGTTTGTGGAGATATTTTTAACATTTTAGACAATATATTCGAAACATTATCATTTATCAAATACCAAAAACATAATTCTTTATTATTGAATCTAGAGAAAAAAATTATATGGAAAAAAATGACACGGAAATGAACAATTGGTCAAAAACAACACAGTAAAAAACGTCAAACGCAGATTACTTAAAAATCCCATACAGTAGTTTCAACTCAATTATCAATTTACCAAATAAAAATATAAAAATAATAATAACAAATCACAAATTTCGTACCCATTGTACTTTTATTACACTATAGATAGGTAGCTGTTAGCATATTTTGTCACTTTCCTCACTTAAATAATCCGTTACTTAAAAATCACAAACATTAACTTTAAGTCAATTACCATTTACCAAGTTATATATAAATTTATATATACAAGTACACAAGGTAATTCACCAAATATGATCACCCCCATTTTTCTTTAGTAATAAATTTATTCGAATTCTTATTTTCGGAATTTTTAAATATCTAATACAAAACTTCAACAATATTATTTCAAATTCTTAAATTGTTTTACACGATTTATATTATAGTGTCCTGTGGACTACAGACTTCTATTTTTGAAATGATAACCTCTATTTTTACCGTACAGTCCGTACATTATTAAAGAAACATTTGTTTTATACTAATTTTGATTAATAAATAAAATTGCTTAGCTAGGTTAGTTTGGCGAAAGTCAAAAACGAAGAACTTTTCATTCTTAAAATGTTCGTAAAAATTGTTGTCACTCTTTATACTATTTATACTATTTAAAACATTCGACTTCATTCGACTTCATTCAACCTTATTAGGTTATAAACAAGATTATTTATTTAGGTGCGCATTTAACAAATTGTCATAGCAACTTGTAATTACTTATTACATATTTTTTTTTTTTTGTACCTTCTTCAAAATTTGAAAGGGTTGTTTCTTATTTATTAGAATATATTAGAATGTCTTACAAAAATATAAAATAGTCGTAATATTGGAACTAGTACCTATTTTTAAAAGCTACAAATGTTTATAAGTTTATACTAATAACTAAAATTTTCAAATCATCATAGCCTTCATATCTCATGAACCCATTACCAATACTTGACTATAGTTGAGTACCTACTTTGTTGGTCAACTATGATGTAACTTCGTGTTGACAACGGGCTCTCACGCAACTATATTTTTTGTATTAAATCGTGTGTTTAACTAATTTGAAGTCCATCACAATAAAAATAATATTATTTCCGTTAATATAATAATTTTATTGCCTTACAAATGCCAAATATTGTAATATTGAGCATTACTAACATACTGTGTTTATAGCAGCGTACCACCCACGGTCCATTGATGATCTTCGTAAATAAAATATAAACCATTTTAAGTAGATGTTTTTAATTATTGTCTACTATTAAATCATGAAAATAAAATATTTTTTAAAGTCAATAATAAAGTGTATGCCTAGTTATAACCTTTCGAAAGGGGAMCCCATGGACGCAAAAAACTATTGGGGCCATTGGGGGATATTCCTAATTAACACCACTTATAAGTTTCTATGAAATATCCAGCTAAACCAGTTGAGACCATACTCCAATAACATATCAGATCGGTTTCGTGACAGGTTTATCACCAATAGATTGCCTATAATAATATATTCACGCTGAAACAAGTAATAGAAAATTGCTATTAATTTAATAACCCGCTAGTCGCTTCACTTTATCTTCGTATACTTCAAACAAGCATATGATTGAATAAAGAGAGTAGTAATATGGAGACATTTAAATTTTAAAGTTATTTAGTATCCCCACAAAACTAATATCGATGATAAGAATGGCAGCGGAAGGATCGAGATCACAGTCCAAATTTTTTTACAGTTCGATTAAATACATTTTAACAGCTAAAAATTACATTTTATTAATTATTAATAATAATACATAATAATACATTTTAAGCAGTACCTACGAATTATAAAATTATTATTAATTGATTCTAATATTGCATGTGCTTCAAATTAATACTTTAATAGTACATTTGATGTATGATATACATAGGTGTACCTATGTCGTAAATATAGGACGCAGGTATGCTTTCTCTACAGAGTACAGTGTAAGAATAATAGAATAATTATTTAGAAATTATAATAGATAGTTTTATGTGAAAGTTTATGTTCCAAAATGAATTTGTTTGGAGGATAACTTGATTTGATCAACCGTACAGATAGACGGTGTTTAATAGTTGTGTTGTATATTGCCCACTTACAACTAACGGGCGATCGCTGGCGGTTACTGCATTGGCGATGTACGGGCACTAACCATGCGGTGATAGTGGACTGTATATGAGAAAATGGACAATTGTAGGAAATTATGAAAATTTCACAATATGCCGAAAAGTGAGATGTGTGTACTGACGCAATTTAACACCTCCGTCCGCTGATAATAAGTATAAAATAATAAATATTGTGAAACGAAATGACGATTGTAGAAGTATATGATAATAATTCAAATGATTATAAAACAACAAACAGGTCTTATCATCATATGGCCAGTGCTGATAATATTATATATAGATTGCAAAGTGGATATAAGGCTATAATATCCTAGCAAAACGATCGATAGTGCCTACGTAATTTACAAAATGATCTTACCTCTATGCTGCGATTATGAACTTGTACAACGGCAGTCGTTGGCAGGAACAATAGTGACGGGGTGATGTGGGATGCCGGTGGCTGGAAGACGTTGACTGGAACGCAGTCAGTGAGGTGGCATAAATCACAGAAAATGGCAAGCAAATAATAAGCAGGAATCTCGGCGGCGGAGCACGTTCGGCTGGAACAATGGTATGTCGTCGTCACCAGCTTAACTATATAGGCCGTACAATCCCAGCAATCGCTGAATCAGGCAAGGCGAACGGGACAGCGATAATCGCAGAGCATGAGCATGACCTTGACCCGTTATCTCAACGAAAAATAGAATTTTCGACACATATATGACGTGTCCAGCCGTCTCGGCTTATCAGGCACCAACAGAACTATTTCAAAACATAATGTATTATTAAAATATAAAGCTAATGCTGCTCGTGTTTTATTCTAACATTTAATACATTAAAATAATTCGGTTAACTTTTTAATAAAACCCAACATTAAGTAAATGGTAATAAATAATAACTATTTCAATTACACTATTGTCTTAATATTATATTATTAAATTATGAAAATAAAATATTTTTGATTTTAAAAGTCTATAACTAAATGAAAATATTTTTAAAATAAATATATAAAAATATAAATATAGTTTCGTATATAAATTAATGGTAAATTTAATAGTTAACTACTAATTTTTTCTTAACAATATCATAAAGAACTACCTATATAATGCAATAATGTATAAATAACTAACAGGTATTATTTCTGATAGATTGGTTCGCCCGGAGTAACTCTGATTTGACATTCAAAGTTTTTGATTTTTCCTGGGCTGTCTGAGAAAATGTGTCGGTATTTTCTCATGATCATATTGAATTGTTCTCGTTCTTCATGGCTGATGTTTACTGTGTCGTCCTTTGCGTCATGATCCGTCAAAGCTATTTCCCTTAGACTGTCGTCTAATGATATTGGTTTGGGAAGTTTCTTTGAAAATGGTATTGAGTATGATTTTTTATTTACTTCAAGTTGTATGGTATGGTTACTGAAATTGATTTGAGCATTCTTATGGTTGAGTATGTCTGCTCCAATAATGGCCTTTTCGTTGAGTCCTTCCACTTGTATAAAGTTAGGGTGGATCACAGCTTCGTTGAGTTGACACTTGCAGAATATCTGTTTTGAAATTTTGCATATTTGTTTACCGACAGCATTGCTTGTTCGTACCCCGTTGATAGGCAGTTACGGAACAGCAGGGTCCTTTTTGATGATAACATCGAAGATTTCTTTTTTGAGGACATTGATAGTGGCTCCAGTGTCGACCAATAGTCTACCTCTTCCCCTTCAATCAAACACTGAACGTATGGACTGAAAGATTCTTCTTTATTTTGTATTTTATTGATAAAGCGCGAGGCTTCATTATTATTGTCGCTGACGTCACTGACAATGACCTGATTTATTTGTTGATTAGTGTCACTTTATTGTTGTGATTGTTGTTCATCCCTGTTGTACCACCGATAGTTCCGTTGTTGATTGTTGTTCAGTTGTTGATTGTTGCTCCGTTGTTTTGTTCGGTGGCTCCAATCGTTTCGTGGTACACGGTGGCTCCAGGTATTGTGATTGTTTTGATTATTTTTTGTCAAGTTGTTTTCCGTCGTTGACGGCACTTGTTTATTTCGACGGCTCTCCTCCGCACTTAGTACCTTCATGRCGTTGATACYGATTTGTCCGGGAGAGATACCAGTATTGCGCGTAGGTAGCCTGGGTAGTGATTGGCTATGTTACTCACAATTTCCTCTTCTGATAGTTCAGGTACTAAGTGTCAAGTGATGTAATTTTGATGCCCACTGAGAGAAATGTTCCCTGTATGTGATATTGTCTGGTATTTGTGTGGTGTTGATACAGCTGCTCCGTGTTTGAATTTGGATTTGTCTTGACCAAAATTCGTCAATGAATGCATTTCTGAAATCTACATAATCTCTTATTTGAAATTTAATTATTGAATACCAATTACTAGCGGTGCTCTTCAGGCAGTCGCGTATAATAATTAATTTTTCTTCTCTGTTCATTTGTTTGACTTTGAAATACTCTTTCAAGTTTTGTAAAAATTATTTGGGATGCGGATCCTTATTGCTGGCGTAGAACAGCGGTTTGGATATTTCGATGTTTGAATTTTTCTGATCGTTGTTCATTACGTATGCGTTTTGTTTTTGATCAATAAATATTTTTCTTAGATTCTGTATGTTGTCATTATTTTGTTGTTCCAAATTTTGTAAATTTCTGTAATGATCTTCGATTTGCTTACACTTTTCATCAATTTCTTCAATTTTCTTATTATTTTTGTCTTCAAGTTTGCTGATTTTTGTAACAGCTGTTCAACTAGGTAACGGCTGTTTCTTTCGACTTCGCATTTAAATGCATGGAATGCTTCTTCCGTGACATTTTTCTTCGGTGCCATTTTAGAGATGTAGTTTCTTCTTTGCAAAACGATGCAGAAAATTTTCGATTTTTTTTTTATTGTTCGCGGGGTTGAAGTAGAATTTTCTCCTTTTTTCAAGCACTACATTGGGCGCAAATTTAATAATTATGAATGAACGCAACGCAGGTTTATTATTCATAAATAATTATTATCTATTTATTAAAACACAATTATAGGTATTTGAAAGATAACAATATTTTCTTTTATATTTTATATCACATAAAGTGATTTGACAAATTAAAAAAACATTCAACAGGGAAAAAGGTTTTTATTTGACAGTACAGTTATTTACCGTATAGAACCGCGAATATGACGTTATGGTTGAGTGGGTGGGTTGATCTTGGTTAAGCATCGCCATCGCCATGTGCTGACCGTACAATGTTTAATTTTAATTTTCAGTAAGTACACTGTATTTTATATCATACTGAGTACTGACATACTATCATGCCATCTAAAGCTGATTTTTTCCAGTGTGATCAAAAATCTCAGTTTGATGAAGTTAATGATCAAGGAATCCACAAAAAGTTTTATAAACACTATTGGAATCTAGTCCAAATATCAGTAAATGGTTTATTTTTGGTTCTAAAATTAATAATACAATTCAAAAGAGTAAGTAGTATAATACATATTTTAATATCTGTTCATTATAATTATTTTTATAAACTACAATTTAAAGTTATGTTTTTTAAATATACATATTATTTGAGGATTATTTTTATTATTATACCATTAATATTTAAAAGTATGCTAACTCGTTTTTTTTAAATTTAATTTTTACAACGTATAGATGTATCATCTATGTAGTACGTACATTCTACACATTAAATTCTATGCAATAATCAAGTTTAGCAAAGTATAAACGTAACGTTTATGAATGCACCCTGCTATCTCAGATCTACGTACTTTACTTTTAACATTATAAGATTGGCTCACTTATTGACTAACGCACTGTATAAGATTATTTTATTTTATTTGGTACCCAAAATATAAATTTGTATCTATCACCATAATATAATTCTCGTCTGATATATTTTATTAAATAAAAAAAAAAACGATAGAAACTGATAAATATAAATATTTGATTTGTATAGATCTTAAAAAATAATGTTTTATTTAATGAACAAGTTGATTCGGTTGATTCTGTTTAATCTATTTAAAAACTACACGAATTTAACCACCTTTTTTAACTGAATAATAATACGTTACTATTTAAAACGATGTTTAAAATATTTACATAATATTAATTATAATCATAGCATTATATTATTATTATATAAATTATATGGTCATGTCATTATGGATTAAACGGAGACAGGATTGAAATTCAAAAAAAAGTTAGCTTATAATAATTAAGACAATTATTAGTACCTACATAGGTAATTGATATAGTTACTTCATTAATTGTAATAGCGTGTACATCATACTATACATCCACCATACTACCATAGACACTTGATTATTATATTACTTAGCTAAAACCACCAATAAACTTTTATAAAAGTCGAAAACATTTTTCACGAACTCGACGATTTTTTGTACCATGAACACCAAGACCAGACACTTCTAACACCTTTCCGGTCATAGGATATTCGCTTAATTCTTCTGGCGTCACACCTAGACTAATTGTCGTCACGTACAACTTGTCCAACCGAGGACCACCGAACGTGACTGATGAAACTATTTTTGCAGGTATATTCAGCTTGCCGAGCAACTTTGCACTGGTGCCACCCACGTGCAATACCTCCAATTCGATATTCATTAAAACATTTTTAACAATAACTTTTTAAACAAGGATAGATGTTAAACTATATTATTATACCTGAGAACCGTTATAATTGGCGATCCAAAGATTGCCGTTTGCGTCAATCGTCATTCCGTCAGGGACGCCAGGTATGTTATCCTTCTTAAAGTCGTAGAACGTTCTGCGGTTCGCTATCAGAAAAAGTCCGAGTTTGTCAGACATCAATAATTTTTGCAGAAAAGAATCATAATTATCATACAATCAATACATAAACGAAATTTGATAATTACAAATGGTCGCTGTAGCGGAATCGTAGTCAAAAAGTGCTATTTGTCTGGTCGGAGAATCGATGTAGTACATCCGCGTGCTATCGTTGTTCCACGCTATCCCGTTAGAAATGGTAATACCTGGAAGCACGGGATCGAGATTTTGGAAACATTCGGTATCGTTCAACCTGTACAAAGTTGCGCGACCTGGTGGTACATGACCTTTGGCGTCCTTGAATCCCGTCGTACCTGTAACGGGTTCGACAAACAACGACGAATAGTTAGATTAAGTCATAGTTCTCCTCCCCAATATTCCCAACAAAAAAGTCAGCAGTCGATAAAACCTTCAGCTAAAAATGCCTTACCCATTTACTAAACTAAACTTAATTTATTCTACTGAAGTACACCTATTCAACCTATAATTTGATTATCTAAGGACAAGTAACTTACCCGTAAGATAGGCCTACCGGGAAACTAGTAATTTCTAAATGAGCGCTCCCTCCCTGTTTGGTCAATGGGACCCTTTTTTATCCTTCAGCGATTTGATGGTAAATTATACATGGACATATAAAGTATACAGTAGTCACTACGGCTACTCAACCATAATGTAACTATATGATACCATAGAAATTAAAAAGCGATTAACAAGTACATCAGTTTTATATTATTGAGAACTACCACAAACTTTTCAAAGAGTAGGTACCGTTTATTTTCTAAATTATATCAATTTCAAATTATGACTTTGTATACTTTTAAAAGATACTATGTGATATAAATAAGTAAAGAATACCTAGATCACATTTGATATCAATCGAATGAAATCGATAATTTCTATTTTCTAATGGTTTACATTATGCTATATGTATAGGCTTTAATATATAACATATATTACACATATACCTATAACCTACTAGGGTAATCTAGTCTCTATATTTTAATGTCTATAGTTATTTAACCATATTAAGTTTATAATCCACGTCAAACGAATTATAGGTTGGTGACTCTGCCCACCGCAAGGTGTTCTACAGCTGGTACCAGAAATACATTCAGTGTAATGTACCCGCAGAAGTAGATATTGTACTGGTTGTACAACTCTATGAAATAAATGGACCCTCCCATAACTGTATTGCATTGCGAAAAGAATGAAGAACTAATGAGCTCTCCTTGATATTATATTGATGATAATTTTTAATTTTGAAACATTATTGAAGTAACCACAGACATGTACTCTGTACAACAATTTTATAGTTTGCCACTAGGGTTCACCTCAATTGAGTTCTATGAAGAGCCTTATAGCATGACATATTGAATGTTTCACATCATAAAAGCAATTTAAAAAGAGTTATGAGAGCAGTATATCTATAACAGTGATGCACCTAAACCTAGACAAATTTAACAAAAATAAAGGAAAGTAGGAAACCGCTCTACTGTACAGATGATTTCGGGTACTGATACGTGTGTTAAATCCAAGGCCGGATTTAGGACTAGGCTACCTAAGCTATAGCCTAGGAGTGCCACGACTTGGGGGGCGCTAAGCCGTGGCCCGTGGATGGTGAATTTTTTTTTTGTAGATACAAGATAATATAATTACTATCTGCAAATTTAATTTACCATCTAAGAGAATTTATATAATTAGTTTATATAAATAAATATATATAAATATTAGTAATGAATAATGTTAATTATTATAAATTAATTCGCTGTTGTAAATATATATATATATATTATATATACATGATATTGTGATTGTGCATGGTAAATGTGGCGCGACAATCACTGTATCAAAAGTGTGTGATACATTGAAAATTATATATAATATAAAAACAGGATTTTGTTGTGTCTATAAATCTAATTATATCATAATTCGAGCGGCAGATTATAATACTTTCGGCGTCGACACATTAGTCATTACAGTCTCAAATCACCAAGAACCACTAATGGAAATTGGACGATTATACATTTATATTTAATATTATTGAACATTACACGATACTATTATCACGTTTATATTTTATGTTCGACATTATCTATGACTTATGCTCATAAAGTCATAACAGTCATAACTCAGCAGTTTATTGACTAGTTTTGTTTTTAATTATTTTTCTTTTGCATTAACGATGTCAAATAGAAAATTAAGTGGTGCACAAAGGAGAAAATTACAAAAAGAAAAAGATGATAAACATAATAATGTAATGACAAAAGTGAGGGGATCGTTTTGATGATTATGAAGTTAAAGGAAAAAAAGTGGGTAAGTCGTGTATGTCACTCTGCTGTAAAGTAGGTTACAAGTGGGTTACTGTAATGGATGGAATTAAATTTGAATCCAATGGTATTATATCAATATATACAAAAAACGATTCTGAGCGGATACGGTTTATCTGTCTAGGATATATTATAAATTATTAAAAAATTTCAAATCCGAGATTTAAAAAGAAAAATGTTAATGAATTTTTAGCTTAAAATAATTTGAGAATTTTCGTGATTTTTACGTATGTTGTCAAAATTTAAGCTTTGAATGCTTGTAAAAAAAATTGTTGACTATATATTTCTTTTATTTTTCAACTGCTATTGTGAAAATATGTAAGGAATCTTGTATTAAATTTTCAAGCTTTTCTACCCAACAAATACATTTTTATTGATATTTATAGATAAAACTAATAATGGTCGAAAATTGCATATTATGCCTATAAATAGTTCAACTTAAGTTTTCAAAAATTGTATGGTGGATAGAATATACTTATTTAAACATTCGGTGAAAATTTCATGCATCTATGGTCATTTGTTTTAAAGTTACATCAAAAACCAAAATCGATTTTTTCAAAAACTGATTGTGCATACAATTTTCCGTTTTCCCTTAATTTTTAGTTTGTTTATCCCAATTATTCAGAGAAATATTGGAAATTTTTTACTATTGATCCCCCCATTACCAACTAGATTCACTTTATGACCGAACGAGGTACTGAAGTCGAAAATCGAAGCACTTTTACTGCCCCAAACATGATGATAGACAAATAAAAACAAATCATGATAAAATAAATACAAAAAAAATAATTTCAAAATGCGAAAATTATGAAAAAGATGAACAGAGAAAAATAAATATTTCTAAACGATTAGATAAATATATCGAAGATGAAGTCATTTTAGAAGGAAACGAAGCTATGAAAATAAATACATTTTTCATGATAATTGACAAACTGGTCCTAGAATTATCAGAAAGATCAAAAGCTTGCACTAAATTTGATAGTCTATTTAATTTTTTTTCAGACTTGATATTTATATCCTCGAAAATATTAAAAGAAAGAAATAAAAGATTAGTTGTAAAATATTCCAATGACCTAGAAGATGAGCTGTATAAGGAATGTTTACATTTCAAGCAATTTTCAAATGAAATCAAATAGAGGAGTCAAATAAAAATCTGCAGGCATGTTTTTGAAAATTTTAAGAGAAAAAAATTATTGCAACGTTTCCAAATTTAGACACTGCTTTGAAAATGTGTCTAACCATTATTCCATCAAATGCAACTGGTGAAAGATCATTTAGTATTTTAAAGAGAATTAAAAATTATCTAAGTAATTCCATTTCAGATAAAAAGGTATCTAGTTTGGCGTCATTTAATACGAATTCAGAATTGCTTGAATCTATAAACTTTAACGATTTAATAAATACGTTTGTATAGCAACTAAGTCAAGAAAGCGCCAAATATAAATATTGTTAATTAATAAGTATTATGGATGAAAAAAATGCATTAATTATTTGTATATTAATTATTTTGTACATTTTTTTATTTGATAAAATATAATATCAAGAATAATTTTATTTCTGTCATTATACGAGTAATAAAATATATTTTTTTTGCCCTTCTTGTCTAGTATCTTACTCAACAAAAATTTAAGACTTAATTTTATAGGTTGACTTAAAAACATTTTAATTTAATCTATTATATTATATTGTTGTATATAACCATAGAAATGGTAAATTAATAAGAAGGGAAACTTTCAGCTCTTATTGAATAAATAATGTTCCAAGGAGTAGGGGCGTTTGTTTTTTATTAGCCTAGGGGCGCTTTTTAAGTAAATCCGGCCCTAGTTAAATCTGAGTTCAATGATAAATCATTTCATTCGTAAATTATTCTGAGAGAAGAAGGGTGAGAGATAAATTAAAATATTAGACTGACTAAAAGTATTATCGCATTACACGGTCAATCAGTATGATGGACAAAAGATTCAAGATTGGTATGTTTTGTCTAATATAACTGTTCATCGCCGATCCCCTTAATAGTTACCTATTCAAAAATATAAAAATACATCATGATATATTTTTATAAGTAAATAGAGTTCAATTTTCGAAAATATTAATTATAATCCATATAATTTACAAATTATTATTCTTCTTAATTCATGAAAATATTTTATTTTTTTCACAGTTAACATTTGAAAATTAATAGAAGATTTCTCATAAGTTTTTCTGTCGTTAACAAAAAACGAAAAACATAAGTTTACTGGAAAATAACACAATTATAGCCAAGATAAATTTTAATTTTTAACTACTAGTTTTTTTTTTAAGTAAAACTTATTTCTTTAGGTATGGATGGAAAAAAATGAAACGTGATGATTATTTTTATAATGCCCGAGTCCTGGTAAACCAGAATTTGAATATGTGAATAATTTAAGCCTAAAAATATAGTGAAAGTGCTTAAGAAATCACCCTGTATAAGTACCAAAGTGTAAATATCCGTAGGTAATATGTATTAATCACATATATAAATCACACACACTTGTGATATAGGTACCTACTATTAAAAACGATGGGGAGTGGACCGTGGAGACAACTAACAAAAGACAATTAATAAGCAGTAGGAGATTGACGATTAATGACATAGGTCATACTCATAAGTTATCCAATACGCCACTCACCGGCCCACAAATAACCATTTACGTCCGCCTTGGCATCGTTCCACCGATTTCCGATTTTTTCTTGGTCAACGATAGCCAGAGCAATGACTTTGTGGGTATTTTCGAGGAGGTTCCATCGGAGACTAGCCAATGTGGTGCCTAGCCCGGTAACGAATAAACCTTGTTGTCCAGCAACAGGGATCACAAAACTGACTTCTTCATCTAGGGCAAAATTGTAAATGGATTAAAGTAAACAAATTGATAGGATGGTCAATATAGTATATAGTACAATGTGTAGGTGTAACCCACGACTAACCTAGCTGGACGTGATCCAAATTGGTTCGGAAAAATCTGTAAACGCGGTGTTGAGAAATATCAACGAAATATAAGACGTTGTTCTCAGAATCCCAAAACGGCCCTTCGCCTTGCACCAACACGTCGTCGGCCACCTCCCTAATGGATGCACCGTTGTAATTCATGGCACAATTCATGGCCACCCAACTGAAAAATACCAATCAGTTAATACTTTATTGTAGGTACCTACTACAAATTACAGTCTACAATTCTTCATGAGTCAATAAGTATTAATATTCACTTAACAGATGAACTATCAACATAACAACATTGAGCATGTCAACATAATATTAAATTAACTTTGACACTTAGTACATTATTTATGACTTATCGAATATAATTTATATGTATGAATTTCATAATTTAATTTGTGATAGTATTAACAGACAACAGTTGACTCATTAAAACGCCTATTTACCAGTATTTGCTGTCTCCAATATACAAACACGTAAGTACAAAGTACGTAACATTACTAGTCTATATAGTGCCTAAAATAGTGTGTTTTAAAGTAGCTATAAGTGACTACAACTTACTAGTCCGTATTTCAAAAGTGTGTTGTTATAAATAACACTATCAATATTTTAGTGAATATTCGAGTAATATGGGAAAGCAGACATATTAATTATTTTGGCGCCAAGCGTTAATAATCTGTTCATATGATTTATAATAGCAGTCATTTTAAAATATTATCTGAACTCAAAACAGAAATCTCTCTAATACTAATTTAGTAAAGTTCAATATAAAAGCAGAATTAATCCTTTACAAAACTCTAACGATGCCAATCTAGACATACGACATCCAACTATGGGACTATGGGAACCACCAAAATTCAAGCATTCCAATTCATAACTCTTAATATAATTAAAGTAAAAAATAAATAAATATTATGATTATTTTAATGATTAATGAAAATTATAATTTTAAATCTATGTGTCTATGTCTATTCAATTTTTCTAATAAAACTTTAATAGCTTAGTTTGGCAGTAATTATTATGATGTTTTTTATGTATGACGAGTAATATTTTTACGAAATACGATTGATGTATTAATAACATTTAAAAATTTATTTAACTTAGAAGTCACTGGTAAATTTACTACGATCTAAAAACTAATAAAATTAATGTTAACTGTTGTAGTGTTGTCTACTAAACGTAATTTTACTTTCTATTTTGAGCTTATACACTGAGACAACAAATGCGGGTATAAAATGTTGAGATACTCTTTAACACTTAAATTAATGCTAATCCACGTCTAGACTACCTCAAAAACGCAAAATTACACCAGAAAACGAACATTACGATCGTGAAACTTGACGGACAGTTAGTGTCATCGGTTGTCAACATTTAAATAAAATCATTGCCTGTTATATTATAGTGTTTTATACTGTTACGGTTGGTTAAACAATCATTTTTTTCTTTAAACATTGAAACGCCGAATCAAGTTTCCATTTCCCCTAAGATAATGTACAAAACCTATATGGTTACTCACATAGCAGTATAATAGTATTCTATTTAGTATATGTACCTAATTGTTTTCTATATGTTCATTGATTTTTGTTGTCAGTTACCTTGTAAATTATGTAAGATCAATTAAAATTTTGGGGGTAAATTGATCGAGCCGATGTATTCTTACTCATAAAATTATAGGATAAATTGATTTACACCGTTATGGATCTGTGAAGGATTGAAGGACTTTCACTTAATAAAAAACAATTTATTAATTTATTTTTTAAACATCATTTTCTATTTATTGTTTTATGAGTAGTGAGTACTAGTATAATGATAAAAAATAATAACATTTTTTAAGGACAAAACTGCTAAAGACAAGTCTGTATTACACAAATATAAAGAAAAAAAATTACATGAGTATAATAATTATAAAGCATCAAATACTATAATATGTCAATAATGTAAAATGTGTTGCAATTATTTAAAAGCTATTGTATTTAATGTATGAACTGAAAGCAAAGCATAATTTAAAAAAAATATAATAATTAAACTATTTATATGGGCAGTAATTATAGTATAGAAAATTGAGGTATAGTCTCTTAAAAAATTATATATATATATATAAAAAAAAAATTATAATACACAAGTCTAGTTGTTTTTGACTGAATACGAAAAGAAATCAAATAATGTTTAGTGAAAACTTATATTTCAAATTTTTATTCCCCCTAAACAATATAATATGCCTCCAGAAGTAGGGGGAGAAATTTTGGTAATGTTTTAAAAATAAATTTTGTCAAATTAACAAGATAAAAAAATTAAGAAAAAATAACAAAAATTTTAAAGTTGATAGTTTTAAGCTTTTAACTAAAAAAAAAAAAACAATTTATTAACACAGCTCGTATAGCTTTCTGATAAAGATATATGAATCGAAAGACAAGAAAGAAGTAATAATAATAAAAAAAAAATATATCTAAATAACAATGAAATTAGGTAACATGAGCGAGAAATTGAGATACTAATGGCAAGTACTAAAATATTTTAGAACTACCATTTGCGATCAGTCACTGACATCAAGTGTACAGCGCTTTCGCTCTCGCCCCATCCAGTCGTTCGTGCCGACTCCCTTACGTCTGTAGCTGTTGCGGGTCCGATTGCGCTGACCCCCCTCTTTCTGGAGACTTTTATCAGACCTCTTTTCACCTGAAAAGAACAATAAATCTTGAATAAATTATTAACTGAAAGATTTAATAGTTAGAACTAAAATATAAATAAAAACTACTTAACATACATTTAGGGCCGTTCTTACAATGTCCGGTTAAGTGTCGGTTAAGACTAACCGGTAGAATTCTATCGGTTAACTCATGATAAATTCTTCCGGTTAGTGTTATCAGGCACTAACCGAGCATTATAAGAATGGCCCTTAATGTATTAATAATTTAAAATATAAAAGTCTAAGTTATATAAGCTTTCAAAATTATCCAATTTGGTGATTCCTATCTCATTTTTCAAAACTCTCCTTGCTGATATTAATAACACACCAATGAAGTTTAATTTTCTAAGACTTGCCTTGTTTATCTTGTAAACTTCCCATGGCTTGAAGCGCCGCTACTATTTCCAGCTGCGCCGACTCGGCCATTACTGCCATTTCCCCATGATCGATTGCTTGTTGCAACTCCTTGCCATTGTCTATTACCAGTAGACGCTGTTCCCCAAGGGCCGGCAGCCCCAACATCCCAGCGGCCTGCAGGCCACATCCATGAATTAAATCCCCATGGCCAATCTAAAAAAAAAAAAAAATGAAAAATAACTAACCTAACATAAATTGAAGTAACACTAAATAATTCAAAATATTAATATCTTTTTATGTATACTTTAAAACTAGATCTGTAAGCATAATTCTTATTACAACCGCTTTATACATAAACAGTAACATATTTAAAGAAACATTAGGGGTTAAAATTAAATTTATACTTTTAGCTACTTGAAATGCAAATTCATAAATTTAAAACAATAAAATCTAATTTAATATATAAAATAATTGTATCTACTAAACAATCACTAACTTATTAATTTTAAGAGGATGTTCAGTATTTTTTATGGCATTGTGGAACATTTACTGAAATGTTATATAAGTAGCTTTAGTTTCTTCTAATAAAGAATAATACTGTACAAAAATATAAAAATACAATAACATTTTCTATAAACACCCTCTTAAATTTGTTCAATTCACACATGTTACATAAAATTACCATCATCCTTTCTGTTGAACTGATACATTTACTGACAAAACACATACTTTCAGGCATCATGGCAAAAACTATCTTGTCATTATTTGAGTAAACAAAATCAGCACAATAATAGTAGTCGCATAAAATAGTTGGAAGGAAAATAAATGTTGGAATCATTGTGTACTCTTGATGTTGTGGAATAAAAGTAACATGCAAAAGAAATGAATGGAGTGTAATACCAGGAAAGTAGAATCACAATATGGGATGATAATTTTTTTTCATTTTCTGCTACTTGATGATTTTAAACCATCAAATGATGCTTCATTAATTTTATATAGCTGAAAGATAAAAATAGGGAGACGAAAGACAATTTTTTTGTTTTATTTTTATTGTTTTTATATTTACATTCAATGAGTTAAATAAGATATAAGATAAAACAGTTAACTAATTAAGTTAAACTGTATTATTATAACCTTGAATGACTACATAACTTATAAATAGTGATTATTTAACTAATTTAAAAAATACTTTTTTTTATGAACAACTAAACTAAAATGACTCTATAATGTATACTAGAAAATAATATATGGAATAATTGAGAATATTACATGGAATTCATTTCCATAACTCCTGAATAGTAAAAAAAAATTAAGCAATATTAAATTTTTTAACATGAAATATATCTTTTCTTGTTACAATTATTTACCTAAATAGTTTAATTTTAAGAGAAATCATTGTATGATAATGATAAAGTACTAAATAGTGATATTAATTTGAATAATGTCTACTTAATTATTTGACAACTTTTCAAAAGAATTATGTTATGCTTTATACCCACCATGTATTAAAAATCTATTTGAATTCAAAACTTTAATATGGATATAAAAAAACAATATGATTATTWAATAATAATTGGTTAATATTATAGAGATGCATTAGCTTAGCTAAACTTTGTTTCAAAACCACTTTTATAAAAACATTAATTTAAATTATCTCACTTAATATTTAATTATATACATTTATGCATTATTTTTTATTTATCATTAATTTATAATAAATTATAAGTATTCAACAAAAATTAAATAATCAACTACAGTTTAATACGGTAGATTTTAAAAACAAAATATTTAGTTATTTGTAATTCTAAATAAAATTTTTTTTAATTTAACTAAAACGTGCAAGCATTAATGTGCATGCATCATAATATTGTGTTATTACCTCAGACCAATCCCAATACTGTTATCAATAAACAAATAAAATATTGAAAGTAAAAATTATGTAGGGTTACTTTGAATAAGTCAATATTATATTTATAAATACTTACCGAAATCACCTCGCCCAGCCATGCGTAAATTATTTGAAACAGTACGATAGCCAGGTCTCGGAGCCCCCATCAATGACAATGGTTGTGGCATCAAACTAAAATTTTAAATTATAAATAAAATAAAATGTCTCCAGTTCATACTTAAATATCAATAACTTGAATTTCTTAATTAGTTTAAAATAAATATTAAGTATAAGAAAATTATTTTAAATTAACTATAATAATTAAAATCGTAAAAAAAATATACATTTAATTATATGTTATAAATGAATAAATAAACAATGTAATTACCCAAAAGCACGGCCTTGCATATTGGTAAACATACGACGTTCTCTAGCTCTTAAAATTTCTTCTTTCTTCTTTTTATCAGATGGAGGTTTGGCAAGTGATACTTCCAAAGTAGCTCCATCCAAATTGCTACCATTCAGCTCTTCCAAAGCCTACAAGACAAATTTAAATATTATTTTTTAATAAAATAATAAGATGATTTTACAGAAATCGATACTAGCCATTTGCATGATTTAGCAAAATATGGTACATAACAATTTACAAGCTTAAAAATTATGAGAATACTTGATTTCAATAATATAATCTAAATTATCGCTAACCACCATATAATTTACATTTAATGGTACCTTCCTTAAAGAGTAAAGAAAGGTATGTTTTACGTATTATTATTTATTTTTTTAGTAAAAGATGTTAAATTAACTAAATACCATCAAAGATTGCCATACCCACATGTGTTGTCTATGTCATACAAGTGTGTGGCATACCAAATTTTACACTGAGCAGATCATGTTTATCTGTTAGTTTAAAATTTAGAGTGAATTTACTTATGATAAAAATTAAAGGCAAGATTATTATCCAGGGCATAGGCTTTTTATTATATTTTAATTTTAAAGCGAGTTATGAGCATTTTCAGATATACAAACAATTTACAATTTTAAAATATTCATAACTTGCTTTAAAATTAAAATATAATAAAGAGCACACAATATTCTCAAGATCCTACCTTTAATTATTATAATAGGTCAATTTATTCTAAATTTTAAGCTAACAGGGACAAACGTGATCTGCTGAGCATAAAATTTGTTATGCTACACACTTGTACGACGGAGACAACACATGCAGGCATCCTCATAATAGTATTTTGAAATCAATATTTTAGGGATAAAATATCCTGTATAATCTTAAATATTAATACAAATCTTAAAATAGTGAATAAATGAATAAATGTATTACTCTTTAGCCCTAAAAAATATATCCAATCATAATTACAATAACTATTCAGATAGTTTGTAAAAAAAAAAAAA